GAAAACAAATTTCTGCTATTTTATCTACCCATTCTGTGGTATTTTATTATGGCAGCACTAGCAAACTAATATACCTTTCCTGACAGCCCTGCCTAAAATTAGCACTTCTGTTATTCTCTCATCTACTTGTCTTGCTTTATTTTTCAGTAGAGCACTTATCACTACTCAACCTTGTGTATGTATAGCTCTAGGAGGTTGAGAGGCTGTAGAGTGTAGTGAAGTATAGTGGATAAGACTCTGGGCTCTGGTTTAAATCCTGGCTGCCACTTTGTAGTTGTTTGATCCTTGACAAGTTATTAATATGAAAGTCCCATGAGGTTCTTCATCTGTAAAATGGTGATGACAGATATGGTTCTTACTTTGAAGGCATCATTACAAGAATGCAATGAGTTATAACATGCGTAGTGCTTAGACCATACCTGGAACAACATGAGTATTCAATACCAGTTACCTGTTGCTGTTGCTTTATGTCTGTCTACCCCACTAGAACATAAGCTCCACAAGGACAGGAACTTTGTCTGATCCATGAAAATGTCCACATCCCCCAAATCAGTGCCTCTGGGGCACATTTTAAGCCCTCAATAAATATTTGTTACCTGCAAATATGAATAATGAAATCTGTAGGCCTTTTCTCAAAGTTCACAAAGTAGAGATCTTTTTTTTATTGAGTGATACCTTGTAACCTAAGATTAGCATGTGATTTTAAGGGCCCTTATCTTTGTGTTTACTGTAGTATTGCTGCCAAGTGATCTGCTTTAATTGACACAGGCTAATGAGCAAAGTTCAGAGGGGGCAGTTAACAAGAACCAAAGGAATGTAGGCTTTCATACGCAAAAGAGTTCACTCTGGAACTCTTATATTTACATTGTGAGTGATGCTTCATTTCAACAAAACATCACCCATGGAATTAAATCAAACTGTTTCATTTGAAATTCATTAGTTTCGTTTGTATTTGGTTTTTTTTGTGTTGGTTTTGTAGCTGTACGTAATTTGATATTCCAGATATCAGTCAATGGTTCTTTGGCACCTTCTGCTGATGAACGTCAGGACTTGCATTGCTCTATGGTGTGTCACCGCAGTGAGTCATTCTTTATGGCTCAGTCGGACAAATGCAGAATCCAATTCAGACACCTGGCGGGTTTGGCATAAATAGGTCACAATTGTCTGCAATAGGCTTTTGGCTAGCTGTTACTCGTAGCCCATAGGTGATATGACAGTAATCTCCAAGGAATTTTCTCCTGAATAGCAGATTTTATAATCACTTTTGCCTAAAATCATCATATAAATCAACAGTGAGAGTATTTGCTACTAAGGAAATGAGCAAGAGGCCATAATCCCCAATATATGTCCCTCATTTTCACCAATGTAGATATTTCCAATGACGTTAATGATTATTTCTACAGGGTAAAAAGCCAGGTAAAGAATTTGTGGTGATTTTGTTAAGAAACTGCCTACTCTATGGCCCAAAATCTGATAGATCAAATAGATTACCAATGTTTCAAACACCTCCATCTTTCTGTGGCTTCTGTGCCTACTAAGTATAGCTCCAAGTGACTGTTTTGGATTGAGATAATAGCCTTTATAGATCAAAGTTCACACGATCTGAAGGATATTTTAATAAATTCTAATGTTTAATCTTCTAGAAGTTCCTGTGATGAGGTATTTTTTGTAAATTAAGAAAATCTTTTATACTAGGAATGAACAATGAGAAATTGAAATTTTAAAAGCAATACACTTTACAATAGCATAAAATATAAAATATTTAATACTTAGTGATAAATCTGATGAAAGATGTTCAAGACTGGCATACTGAAAACTACTATTGAGTGGTGAGAGGTGTGGATCCTATTTCAGTCTTCTACGTGTGGCTATCCAATTTTCCCAGCACCATTTATTGAATAGGGATTCTTTTTCCCAGTGTGTGTTTTTGTTTGCTTTGTCAAAGATCAGATGAAAATATGAGAATGCTTTTATATCTGGGTTCTCTGTTCTGATTCATTGATCTATGTCTCTGTTCTTGTGCCAGTACCATGCTGTTTTGGTTATTATAGCCTTGTGGTAATATAGCTTGAAGTCTGGTAAAGTGATACCTCCCAATTTGATGCTTTTGTTTAAGGCTGTTTTGGCTATTTGGGCTCTTTTCTGGTTCCATATGAAGCATAGAATTATTTTTTCTCTATCTGCAAAAATGGAGAGATGTTAAAGATCCAAATAAATGGAAAAATATATCATGTTCATGGGTCAAAAGACTCAATCTTGTTAAAATACTGATTATCTCCTCATATTGATCTATAGATTCAACACAATCCCAAAGTCCCACCAGGCCTTTTTTTTATGGAAATTGATAAGCTGATTCTAAAACTTGTATGAACATGAAAATGATCTACACTAGCTAAAATAACTTTGAAAAAGAAGAACTGAGTCAGAGGACTAAACAGTACTACAGTAATCAAGACAGAGTTGTATTTATGCAAAGATTAACAATTAGATCAGTGGAACAGAATAGAGAAGGCAGAAATAGACCCACACATAACTGACTTCTGATTTTTGACAAAGGTGCAAAGGCAATTCAGTGGAACAAGGGTAGTCTTTCATCAAATAGTGTTGAAACAATTATCCAATATCCAAATATCCAAATATCCAATATCCATCTGCACAATAAAAAAAGAACTCCAACCATTCCTCTTATCAATCACAAAAATTAACTCACAATAGATCAAAGGCCTAAAACTATAAAACTTCTAGAAGAAAACACAGAAGATCTTTGTAATCTTGGGTTAAGCAAAGATTTTTTAGACATGAAATGTACAATCCATAAAAGAACAATTTGACAGACTGAACTTCATCAAAATTAAAAACTTATATGCTTTGAAAAACATTGCTAAGTGAATGAAAAGACAAGACACAGACTGAGAGAAAAATCCTTGCAAATCATATATTTGTAATTGACTTGTATCTAGAATATATAAAGAACTTCAAATTCAGTAAGAAAAACACAGATTTTTAAAAATCAGCAAAATAGTTGAACAGGCATTTCACCAAGCAAGATACATGAATCTTAAATAAGTATCTGAAAAGATGCTCAATATCATTAAGGAGTATATATTAAAACCACAAGGAGATACCACTTCACACTATTGAAATGGCTAAAATTAAGACTCACTGTACCAACAGTTGCTGAGTATGTGAAGGAACCGGAATTCCCACACACTGCTGGTATATGATATAAAATAATACAACCACTTTGGAAAACAGTCTGGCAATTTCTTAAAATGTTAACATATATCTACCACATGATCCAACCAAGATGTCTGACTTCTGGGAGGGAAGCTGTTTACTATTCACTGCTCAGGAATGCCAGGCAAGCACCCCAGAGACCCTCTCAAACTCTCTTATTTTGTAAATTAGAGTACAGACTTTACAGCTAGGACAGAGACTCTGCAATTATCATGTAACGTCCCTGATAAAAAGAATTTGGGAGGTGCTAGCAGTACCTTGTCCTTCATAGATCTTCCAGGCACTCACTAACAGGGGCTGGAGACAGGCTTAGAACATGACAGGAGGAATGAGCCCAAAAAGGTGGTTGCCAATTCCTCCCCACCAAAATTGGTCCAAGTTCTCCAAAGGATCCTTTGAATATGGAGAGGATTCTTTTAGTCAGTTATAGTTTATAGACCAGTATCTTTGGAAAATTTTCGCTAAATCGGTCAATAACAACTCAACATAGTTAACAATTCCATGTCAACATTGACATTTGTCAGTTTATTGACTTCTCTTTTCCCAGAAACTTTGGAGTTAGCACACAACCCACATCATTATCATTTAGGGACCACCTTCTACTGCTAAGGGTGGGCCACAGGAAAGGACAAGCTGGGCAGAGTGGAGGGTGCAAGCTAATGTGGCCAGGAAACACTGATGCACTGAGTGGAAAAGGAGCCACATCATCAGCCACTCCACTATGTTTCCTTGTGGCCATGATCTGTTTGTGTCTGTTCCTACTCTCAGAGGGGAGGGACCATGAATTACTCTTCGCACATCTAGCACCTAGTCCAGAGGTTGGGTTCTGGTAGAATTAAATGTTTGTTGAAAGATGAATAAACCAATGAACCTCTCAGAGAAGTAGTCAGAGTGGCACACCTGGAAGCTGACATTACTGTCATTTATTTATTGGCTGTTCTCCTTACTTACCTTTGTCTAGGCGTTCAATGAAGTCTTGCCAAATGGAATTAAATGGGAAAAAAGAACATGACAAATATGTTCAAATATGACAAAGCTTCCTGAAAGTTTTTTGATGTGGAAAGAATCTCGTTTCTCCTTCCTTGGTCTTAGTTACATCAACTATGTATGAAGGAAAATTCACATTTTCTAGGTACAGGTACACAGATATAGTAGCATAATTATTAACATGTCAACTGCCATGTGAGTTGTATTTAACTCATGCTACTTTTGAGCTCAGGGCCTTGTGCAGCAAATGTAACTGTAGTTGGTTCATGAAAATCTTACTTGTTGATGTTATTATTGTTACAATTAATATCGACAATTTTATTGCATATAACTCATACACAGAAAACAATAAAGAATAACAAAATTTTCATTAGAGATGATAATTTTGTTTTCAAAGTTTTCATTCTATTTTCATAATAAAACACTGTGGCCCCAAGGAAAAAGTTTTTTTTCTAGTGTGGCAGTCAATGTGTTAAGTAATTTTTAACTTTAAAATTTAGAAAGTGTAGGAAATATTCTTCCTGTACCTGGAAAAAAAAATATATATACACACATATATATATCAATGAGATTTGCTTGAAGTCAGGACTTCCCATTCCAATAGGCTGACTGCAAAGAAATTTTAGCTTCCCGGGGTCATACCCACTCCTGTCAGATAAATTCTCATCTCTGGAAGAGTTTGGAAGATCTGCCTTTCAATTCCTCTACACTTTGTAGCTGAGTTACAGAGTAACTTGCCAGAAGTCCTATCAGAATTCATGGAGCTATTTAAATAGAGCAAAGTCCACAAAAAGTTCCACCGAGAGGTGCTGAGCAAAGGCCGGAGCCCCAGAAGAAAAGAAGTGCAGGCTCAGAGCAAAGCTTCCGGGTCGGAGTGACTCCCACCGTCCAGGGCTATGCAGTTGGCCATGAGTTCTGTGCTGTCAGCTTTCCTGGGAGAGCTCCCCAGCTGGTTCCTTTTCTTTGGGGTCTTCCTGCCTGTGACCTTGCTGCTGCTCCTCCTCATTGCCTACTTCAGGATCAAATTGATTGAGGGTAAGCGTGAAGCCACCCGAGGAGGGGCTGGCGTCCTTTCCTGTGGCACACCTCTGACACATCCCAGTGCACCAACAGGGTTTCTGGGAGGCCTGGAGAAACACACCTTTTTGATCTGTAGGTGCCTTTCAATAAGCCCTCTCTCAAGATTTGGTGGGTTTGGCAAAGTCTGAACCTTTCAGCAGTGTGGATCATGGGCTAGAATGTGAAGGCAGGCCAGCTGCAGGGACCCCTCAACTGTAGCACCCCACAAACTGTGAGTCAGCACTTTTCACATGTGGTTGCTTGTCACTGTCTCTCAAGGCAATAGACTCACAAACATTAAAACATTGTTCATGGTCTGCCTTCTCTATGTGACAGATGTATGAGCATATGTGACCGTGTACATGTATGTGCTGTGTGTGCCTGTATGTTCATGCATGTGTATGTGCCCGTGTGTGTGTGTGTGTGTGTGTGTGTGTGTGTGTGTGTGTGTACACACACTTCTTTCTCATCCTCTGAACTTCTAGTCAGGAAATGTTCTAAGCATTGTGCTGTCACAGTGTTTGGCAAATGTGATAGATAGATATTTGACCTTGGTATAGACTTTCCATGAGCGTGTAGTTGTGAAAACTCAGGAAGCTTGAGGTGATTTGGAATGGGCATTTGAGTTCTGGATTGAGATGTTTATTCTGCTATAATTAAAATTAATGAAATTGGGCCGTGAGTTGTTAGACTATGTGTCAATACTCTACCCAGTAAACATCAGATTAATATCATGGAGGTTAATAACTATTTTAGCAATATCAACAAAGACCAGTCATATTTCTTAATTTAGATAGTGTTGTATTAAGCTACTAAAAAACAAATTTGAAATTCCCTCCTCTTCCACAAAAACTTGCCAAGTCCAAACAATGCCTTCATCTATGTTCCCATATAAACAGATACTCAGAATCTTAAATGGCTAATGCCATAACATTTAACCTAAAATCTTACAGAAGTACAATTGGGATATTTATTTCTAAGATGAAATATAGAACATACAGAAATCCTAGGGGACATACAGGATATTATGGAATTGCAACTTTTCCATCAGAACTAACTAAAATATCCCCCTAGCCTTTCAATTTTGTGTCTCATTTTTATGAACTGCTCCCTTGTTGACTGATCAAGCCATATTCTGTCTCATTCTACTGGATTCATGTGTTAAATCCTTTTCTTTATTAAGTTGGTTTATCCTCCACTGCCCTAAGATCAGTCTGCTGGATGTCCTGCTACCCAGTCATTCATTACCACTGAGCCCTGGAAAGAGGCTCCAAAAAAGGGAAGAGAAAATTCGAAATCTCCAAGAGCCTGACTGCAGCTTCTTTTCTGTCTTCCAACTCAGAAGGGCTGTCAAAGTGTTTGCAATAACCACCATCAGTCACATGCATCCCTGGCCCCCAGGGACATTCAGCACCTTGAGGATAGTAAAAGGATGCAGATGTCACTGTCAAGGACTTGGATACTCCATGTAGTTTCCAAGTTTCATCTCCAGATGTCTCAAAAATTTCCAGTATCTCAAAAATGTATCAAGCAAGAAATAAGGCAAACAACAGGTCAAGAGAGCCTTGTGGATTTATAAGATTCTTACTAGCCTCTACCTACCTGTTATTATAGGCCAGATAATTCAAGGGGACATCTGGTATTTTGGTCAGACTCTGCAAAAGAGAGAAGATCTTGGATTTATAGCTTTACTCATCTATAGAAAAACATCTAGAACATTTAAATGGGTCTAAATATTTTATTTAGATAATTCTAGGGTAAAAACATATCAATCACATTGTGACAGAATGCCCTGGAAAAGTCAACTTGCAGTTGAGCATGTGGCCTGGCATCAAGGGGGATAAATATTTTATTTAGATAATTCTAGGGTAAAAACATACCAATCACATTGTGACAGAATGCCCTGGAAAAGTCAACTTGCAGTTGAGTACGTGGCCTGGCATCAAGGGGGCTGACACCAGGAAAGTGCAGTGAAAGTGCTGGCCACAGTGCCAAGCAGCAGCATCTCCAAATTCTGATATGCTACTGAGCCTCTTTTGACTTCTAGACTTGCCTATAACTATACGTCTTTCCCTTCCTTCTCAAAGCATTCATTTTTTGGAGCATAGGAGCTAACCCAAGGGACAGCAAGAATGTCAGCCTCACAGGATGAGGACCAGTGTTCTCTGGGGAAAGTCCTTTCCACCTTTGCCCCATACTTCTGGAGAGCAGTAGTTCTCATTCATTCATTTGTTCAACAAATGTCTGTGAATCTATCGTATACCATGGATTGTCATAGGTACCAGAACAGACTTTAACTATGGGCTTTCAAGACTTAGCAAAAACAGTACTAGAAAACCACAAAACCGGCAAAATCATCAGACATTAGGGTAGATACTACAAATCCATATGTTTCCATCCCTGGCTTCATTAAATGTCTGGTCAAAGGGCTGTAAGAATGACCTGCCCTTTTTCTTAAGTCTTTTCCAAAAAGTCAGAGCTGAGCACTCCCGCCAGAGGCAGGATCCTCTAAACAGCTAAGGGGTACCCCAGAAATGTAACAAGCCTCTTCTGCGGCTTCTCCCACGTTGGCTTGCTCTCACTAAAGTGTGCCTGGAGCTTCCAGGCTGCAGGGAAGGAGCACAGGAGGAGTGAGTGCGGAGGTGGAAGGAGCTACTTACTATGGCAGAACAGAAATCCGTGCATCAGTTACGTGATGCAATGGGGGTCCCATCTGAAGGTTGCTGTTGAAAACAATACCAATAACTAGAAGCACTGTTACCAGTGCTGCCAACCACCAAGTGAGCATTGCACAGCTGAGTGGACACCAGTGGTCCCTCCTGTTGTCAGTTTTCATTCTGCTGACACTGGGTTTTAAGCATGCCAGGGTGAGGGAAGTTTGGGGACCCTGGGCACTATCCTGTAGAGATTCCTGACCAGGGTGGCAGCTGATGGGCAACCAAACTGTAGTATATTATTTTTTCAAGAATGTTATGTTCAAACTACCATTTGCTTCTATTTCCCCTTTTTCCCAAATAGAATCTGTCCATTTTTTGGAGTAATTCTTAATTACATTTCACAGTATTAGCAGACAACCTTAGACAACGACGGATGTTTTCATTTTTATGTAGATCTGGTCCCTTTTACTTCAAATACTCCTTTCTTCTGGGGGAAAAAAAAAACACCCATTCTAAGAACATGTAGCTTAAAAAAAAATTACGTTTCCTTCTGTAGCCATTTTCCTAAGATTAAGTAGTAATATCCTCTCTCTGGTTTGGGGGAAAATGAGATCACTTGGCCCAAAATAAAATATCACCAGTTTGTATCTCCATTTCACAAGATCCACTTAAAAACGGCAAACAGATGGTCAAATGTCATGTCGTTAATCTTCCGAGCGGGGTTATGGCAAGTGTAATCATTCCTATTTTGTTCCTGTAAAGAGAGGGACGTTGATAGATTAACTGGCATGTTCACAGAACCCCAGAGTCCTGCATTCTAAAACAGAAACCCAGCTTGCCTGTCTCACATAGCCAGGTCTGTCAGACGAAAGGGCCATTTTAAGATGTGATAGAAAGCATGTGGAGGGATTGTAATCATTCAACATCAATCCCTCCACTTCAAGCCTTAGGAGGTAATGGCGCATGTAAATTTAATTAGTATGTAGAGAGCATCAATTTTCTCACAAAGGAAGAAAGAAAATTCTCTAACATCCTGCACTCTTCAATCTGTGTCAATGGCCTTGAGGAGGAGCAGGTTGCTCTTGGAGTGAAGGTCTGAGTCTTAAACTTTCCATAGCCGAACCCTTTATCAACCACTGCTGTGGACATCTGACACCCCTTAGGGTGGAAGTTTTCATTATCTTATCTCCCCAAGTCCTGAAAGTCCTAACCATCTAATTCCAGTACCACCTCACCCCCAAAATACCATCACCCTGATCAAGAACAAACTGCTCTCTAAAACAGCCAACATGGCCCCAAATAGTCATGCAAAATAAAAAAAAAAATGTGTCTACTTAACACCTAGAAGTTTTTGTATGGAGTTAGATCCAAAATAAGGTCGGGTTTTGATCAGGTTCTGACCTTCCGCAACTTACATTCTGAAACAGATAACTGAAGTTCTGAAAATATACAGAGTGGTGAGGTGTCTTTCACTGAACTTCAGGTATACATCTTAGTGGTCAGCAACCAAAAAGGAAAAAAAGTTATTTGGAAAAAGAATAACTTAAGGGTTAGCACAGTAAAATTGTTAAGAGCCCAGACTATGGAGTCAAACCAAATGGGTTTGATTTCCAGCTCTGTTAACAATGGCCACTCAATCTCTTGAAGCTTCAATTTCATCACATGCAAGATAGAAATAATATTAGAACATAGCTATAGGGTTGGTGTGCAGCTTAAGTGATCTGATATATATAAAGTTCTTAACAGTTCCTGGTCTGAATAACTGTTGGTCATTATTATCCCTGCTTATAAATTCCACGGTGGCACTGTTTGTGTCATTACAATAGCTATTATTAAAATTGTCTTGCAATAATTAAGTAAATTTCCCAAGGTCACCTACCCAGGAATAGGTAGAAAGAGGATTTGAACCCTGGCTGTCTGGCTCCAGAGCTAGCTCTCTCAGCCAACACATTACTCCTACAGTATTGAACACTGAGTAGGTGTTCTATTGAATGAAAGAATCTTTTTGGCTCAGGCAAAAAAATTAACCACCATCTGTGGGAGAACTTTAAACAAGGCAAGAATTTGATCAATCTCTTTATATAAGAGAAGTAATTATAATTATTGATGATGGTGATTCCTCCACATAAAGATCTACCTCTGAGTCAGAGGGGATTACATTTCTTCACCTGTGGTCCACCAGGGAAAACTTCATTGCTTGCAAAATTTTCCATAATAACAAACTCGAGTGTTTTCAAGGCCACCTGTCTATCTAATCTCTCTCCGCGCATTGTCCTTAATAGATCCATTGAAACAAAATGATGGCCAAATTGCAAGCTCTTTTAGGAGAAGGATAAATCATTTTATTTCTCTCACTCTCTGCATGGTGCCCAGCACACTTTATTCACTGGATAGATGATTCATTAGAGATTGATGAGCTTCCTCCTGGCCTTTCCATTCTAGTTCTCTCAACTTAATAGTTTGCTTCTTTCAATCTCATTATTCAGGTCACCCACTTTCAGCTCTACAATTTGTATCCTGGTCCCTCATTCAAACCACCTGTTGTGCAGTTAGCCATTGGTAATTAAGAATAAAGGGGAAGAAATTACTGATGTTTTAATGAGTTATAGTCTAAGCCAAGGGCCATCTCGAAGGAATAACTTTGAAATAGCAACAATTTATATGCAAAGGCAGTGTGACCCAGTGCTTGAGTATGGGACTCTGGAGTCAGACTGTCTGGGATCAAATTCTGAATCCATCCATTTCTGTGATGTTGAGCAAATTACCCCAACTTGATTTCTCTTTGCCTCAGTGTGCTCATCTGTAAATTAAGAATGATGGTGACTGGCTCATAATGTCATTGCAAGCATTCAATAAGAAGGCATGCAAAGGGAGTCACAGTGTCTGGCACATAGCAAGTGTTCAATAGTATTGGCTATTAAATCTTGAGCTTCATGTCACCATCGCATATGCACCCTCTCCTGACTAGGATGGCAAAAACTTATAGAGGCCTAGAAGAATCCAGGTCAGGGAAAGTGCACATGTCCTGGGGTGCATGGCATATAAAGTATCAGGCAAGAGATAAGTTGCATGGACTTGGTATGGGAGCCAAAGAGAACATTTTCAGGTTCAACTCTATAAACATGTTTATTATCTCCCATGAGATTAGAAGCTCCTGGTCTCCAGCTTGATTTGATTAATTATAATTCTGAGAATAAAACTTTTGAGGGCAAATGCAGGATTGGTTGTGTGTGTTGGTGGCAGTCAGGAAGAGAGACATGTTCTCTGATGTACAAGGAAGATGTGTCAGGATCTCAAAAGGGATCTCAGGGCTAAAGATCAAATTTGGTTATCACCAGAGAGATAACAGTGGAGGCTACAGGAGCAAATAAAAGTATACAGAAAGATGGTACAGAATATTCATAGTAGCCAAAGGGAGGAGAATGATTGGGAAAGGTAATTGTGTCAATGCCACTGAGGAAGGAAACAGGAGATTGGAAAATGCCACTAGATTTAGTAACCAGATGTCATTGATGAGTTTTAATATTTTAGTTGAGTCACTTTGACAAAATATTTTAAGGGGTGAAGGAATGTGCAGTTGTGAAAGGTTGAAACAGAGTCGTGGGTAAAAAATTGTCAAAGTCATCAGTAAAAAATGCCAAAAGATAGAAGGGAGACAACTAATTTGATTTGTCTAAAATCTATAAATGGCCACACACATTTTTGGGAGGGAGGAAAAGGGTAGAAACCCTGACTTATTTCCATATCCCGAAGCCCTGGCCTATATACACACTTAATACATGCTTACTGAATGTGTGGGTCTCAATTTAATCAACACCTAGTCTATTAAATGTAAGATATACTTATCATGTAACCATTTTCATCACAGTAGTAATTTGTCCACTTTAGCTAGGGCCATTATTTAGAAAGAAGCATTGACACATCTGTTGGAAGTGGTTGAGGACATAGACATCCTGTAGTAGGACTTACTCTGAAGACCTGGACTTCTGTGACCAGCCAAGGTCACCAGCATCTGAAATGCTCGCCTATAATTATAAGTTGTAAATGACCAATGGCATTCAGCTGTCTCCAAGTTATTAAATGATATTTTTCCTTTCAGTTAATGAAGAGCTGTCCCAGTCTTCTGATCGACAACACAATCACAAGGATGGCTCTTCCCTGTCCCAGAGAAGGAAACGGTCGTGACTGGTGGGGACCTTCCAATAGCTGAAGCACAATGAATTTAATTTCTATTGGTCAGAGAGCAATGGTCCACAGTGCAGCTAATTAAGTAGACTGACAAACTGGAACCACAGCAAAAATAGAACACTAAGATGCTTGTTCTGAACCATATTGAAAAGTGGCAGCTATTGTCCAAGAGGACTTCTGTGAGAATCAGCTGAAATAGAGAAAGTATCAAGATTTTCTCAGGTTTGTCTATGGACTGGACACAGAACTTTTTTACTTTTATTGTGACCATGTTCTGAAGGGTGTATTTTTAAAATAAAATTCTTAAGTATGTTATTACATAATCCCATATGATTCTGGTTTTAGAGATGAAGAAACTCTGGTAGAGATCAACTGAATGGCAAAAGATGAATGCCTCAGAGCTCAGTAGAGTCCCTATTTAGGAGTATTTCCCTGTGTTCCTCTTGCAGTTCAGCAACTCTTAAATGACACCACTCAGGTGTCATTTTTGGACCTGAGTTTGTGTCTCTCCTTTTCCCAAGTGCTTTCACGAATCATTGTCACAAATGACATACAAAGCAAGTGGAGTCTCCCAGTAGTAGGTATGGCTTACCCATGAATGTAGCTTTGCACATGACATGACTTGGAAACAGAGGAAAGGAAAGGAGAACAGAATGTTCACATAATTCCTGAGGCGAATAAGGCAAGAAGCCTGTAAAACCAAAATACCAGGGAGCTATATCTAAATATGAAAAAAAGTCAACATTTCACTAACAGAATCCTTCTCTTTCAGTGGGAGCCCTAAAGGGCCACCATAGATAATTGAAAAGAAACACTTAAATCAAGGTGGTAGTTTAAAAAGATTGTAGGCCAGGCGTGGTGGCTCACACCTGTAATCCTAGCAATCTGGGAGGATGGCTTGAGCTCGGGACTTCGACACCAGCCTGAGCAAGAGTGAGACCCTGGTCACTACAAAAAATAGAAAAATTAGCCAGGCATGGTGGTGCATGCCTACAGTCCCAGCCACTCGGAAGGCTGAGAAGGGAGGATCACTTGAGCCCTGAAGTTTGAGATTGCAGGGGCAATCTCAATGACGACACCACTGTATTCTAGCCGGGGCGACAGAGTAAGACTCTGTGTCTCACTAACTAACTAGATGTGGTTACTATTGTGCTAGATACATTTTCAAGTTGACATTAACCAAAGATGTTCAATACTTTCTAAGTTTAAGTCTGGTTACATTCCAATCTTTGCACATGACTCTAACAGGCTATTATAATGATTCACTTTATAAAACATGACGACTTTGGTCATCTCTAAGAAATGCACCAACTTTGATAATAACATACAGTCACACAAGAGATTGTGTGGATGACCAAAAGCAAGAATGCACCACCCGTGCTGGACATTTTCTGCTTCTTCCTCTCAGGCCCACCCCAAAATTCTTTCTACCCCTTCAGGGAGCAGTTGCCATTTGCACATCTTGCATAATATATATTTACTTAGTGTTTGACTGAAGACACTCATTTCTACAGTTTATTGCACTTGCTTATAATGAAAATGTCTGCTGGGGCTTTCAGATGGAGGTGACTCAGAGTAACAGTGCTCACGCCATATGGAAGGAATAACAATATTCTCTCAGTTCTGGGAGGGATCTCTTTTTAGCCCCTGCTGGAAATCAGCTTATATAAGAATGCTTTCTTTAACAGAAGGTGTGAAAGGACACTCGCATTCCCGTCTCAGGCAGCTGCCAGCCAAATCTGTGGCTGAGCCATCAGGGTTTGCTCCATCTTCCTCCAGAAACGGGCACTTCAGAGTGATTTTTGCCCCTGCTGAGTGCTGGTCCACACGTCTCAGCTATTGTGGCAACACATGTGCTCTACACATACATGTTCTCAGCAGTGAGCACAACCAAGTAGTTTAAAGCAAGACCCGGGATTTTGTTTTTGTTCTTTTGCCATCAAATGAGAGTAAAGAAACTCCAATGAAATCGACTAGATTTGTGAATTTTTTAATATGTAGAAAAACATGTTAGTTTTCCCAGGGAGGAACAAGTCCCAAGGGTTTCATTATCATCTGCTTGAAGGCACTGCTAATACATTTGTCAAATCATTTGCCAAGCACAGCCAAGCAGCTGCAGTCATGTCTTTGCTCTTCACATCTCCTGGGTCCAGTTTAAGATTGCATTTGGGCCTGGACCGATTCGGTCCTCTTCACTGCTGCTGAACAAACAGGCTATCTTGGCCTCCACCTAGACCAGCCTAGCAGTCTCCTGACACGATTCAGGTGCATCTTATTCTCCAGGGCCCAAACTGTTGGCCTCACCCCAATAGTTCCTAATCTTACTGTTTTAAATAATTTTTTTTAACATAACTATGCCTAGGGGAATATAGCCTGAAACTGACAGAGCCAGGATTTGAACAGAAGACTCTTGACTCCAAATCTAATGAATCAATTTCTCATCATATTTCTGATGTTTTAGTATCTGAAAGAGTTCCCTAATAGGAACATGTTCCTGCAACTGGAGACTTTCAATAAAATAATAGGTGCTTTAAGTTCTGTCATGTTGCCATTATTTATTACTCAATGAAAATTTACCAAAAATATTTTTACAGAGGTAGCCCAAAGCTGTTATCTTTCCATCTCTCTTGTTCATCATGTTGGTAATTTAGCAATTTGATGTTGGGAACCTGAAAGTCCATGACCACTCCACATCCTGAACCTATGCAAGCTGAAAAAACATAAAATTGGGCAAGGAAGGGCACATATTATGTTATCAGACATATTATCTGCAAACCCTTTAAAAAAAACATGTAAATTAATCTGGCCAGGTAATAGTACACTTTTAGTAGCAATTGGAAAATCAAGAACAGATAAACACTCCTAGAAAACAAAAACAGCTTTTGGTTGAAATCTTAAGTTCTTTAGCAAAACTAAATCTCAGAAATCAGAGTTCATAACTCTTTCAGAATTCAAAATGTTAAACACTTTGGAAATAAATGTTCTGATTTGTTTATAAAAATGATTAGAATTTTCAAAGCATGCTCATGAGATCCTTGCTTTCTGACTTTATAATTAGTGTTCCAATCAGAAGAGACCTACGAGTTCATGAAAATTTAGGCAATGGCATGTATTAATATATACTAACATATGAGTGACAAACAGAATAGCAGGAAACATACCTTGAAAAATACCATCAAATGAATAATTACCATCAAACAGATTTGAAATTTTAAATTATTCTTTCCACTTTTTAAATTTTTCAAATCCACATCACAAAACTTGTTGATTTACTTTTCTATTTATTCTACCATATGGGGTTTTGGAAATCCAGTTTACCAGGTGAAATTATAACATCTAGAGAAATATTTTCTAAGACATACAAAATACTAAAAAAGACAGCCTTGCTGCTAGTCATGTGGGATTAACAATTAACATTGTCCTGAGTGGCTCTCTGGGTACCAAGTCCTGAGAGATGTTCTAGACGCCTCCAGGACCCCAAACGCTGCCCTTGCTGTCTGAGCTGAACAAAACCGAGCCCTAACTGAACACTGCATTTCCTAGTCCACGGGAACTGTGAGGACGAACTTTCTTCCTATCACTGTTATCATCACTAGAAGTATGCAGGAAAACAGTTCTCAAAATGCCCTGGGAAGATCATCCTATGATTTAAATGTGAATGCTAAACATACAAACTTTCTGATGAGAAATATACTTACAGATTCACATTTGGTTCCATAGTATTTCTAAGGCTTGGCTTATTGAAATAGCCTTCCCTAGAGAGTTGTTTTTGTAATAATTATAGAGAAACTGAGAAAGGCCTTTCACAAGGTGAGAGATAATTTAGTGGAAAGAGTTCTCAAAGATGACAGCTATGCAAATTATATTTAACACACTTATTTTAAATGACTAGTGAAGAAAATGCTATGTAACATTTTAAAAGAAATATACCCTGTTGGCCATTTGTTGTATATTTAAAAGGAAAGTATATTTAAAAGATAATCTGGTATGCCTTGGCAAAAGCTTTACAATAAGCCGTGTCACTTAGACTCAGATGCAGGCCCGCAGCAGAGTCTGGTTTGCCTGATACATTAAGGCTCAGTAGACACAAAGTAAAGAAGGACATGAATCACAGAAGCAAGATTCAGATGGTACAGCTAAAATGTTTCCCGAAAACAAAACAAAAAACACACAAAGAAAATAAGCAAAAATATGCCTTAGAGAATTTATAAAAGTTAGGGTGGATTATTTACCCAGGCAGAAGGAATCCGGAATGCTAAACATTAGATTTACAAATTTTCAACTTTGCTTTCGCACTTTCTAATCAGTGATGTTGGCAGCATCATCAAATTATAAAACAGAGCTGAAAATAGATTTTAAAAATGCTACATACCACAAAATACTATGACTTCTGATGGGAAATACCACTCGAGTTTATTATTTTAAACCTTTATAAAAAGAAGCAGGGAGCTTAGAGAATAAACAAACTTTATTTTATAACAGTATTACAGAAAGCAAAATATCATTTAATACAACTTGAAGCTGCTATAAATCTAATCTGGCATCATAACTATACATAGGATCAAAAGCAAGGGGAAAAACGTTCAATACAGTTAATAAGTCCCTATCAGGTCTCTGGTATCAGCTTTAAATGGTTTAACATTCTTCCAACCAACAGAAAAAACACCCTAGCCCCCTACCTCTCTTCCCAGTGTCCTCAAACCTGTGTGAATCATCAAACTATCTGCAAGAGATATGCCTGCTCGATAACAAAAGGTCAGTTTTACTTATACACAAGGAGGTTTAATACAAAGCAAGTGCTCTAACCAGGTGTTCAGATAATGGAAAGTATTGAAATTTGGATATGTTAAGAAAAAAAGCACTAAGGTTTTAAGCTGCCTGAATCTTTTAGTAGAAGGGAGGAAAGGGTTTTTTCTTTCTCCTCCCTCCCGTTCTGGAATGCTGCCGAAGAGGGTGCGTGTGAGAAGCACTGGCACTGTGGCACGGCAGGTCTCTAAGCACAGTGCATGGTCAGCGAACTTCGTAATTCTCCAGTCTGGAGATTCGGACTCTCTACTAAAAGTAAAAAGTCACAGGACTGGAAAGTCAAAGGGTTCAATATAAAAAACAACCCCAGTGAAACTCTGAAACATTAGAAAATTTTCAAAATGTAAGAAATGCTTTTAATCTGTATTAATATTTTCTCATACAGTATATTTACTGCCCTTGGAAAACTCTGTAAATATTTACTGTGAGAATTCAATGGAAAGAATCTGGAAGAAGGAAAGTCACTACCTAAATTAGTCACAGAGTTTCCTTTCCGCACAACAGCACCTGTTCAAGTGAACAGCACCTTACCAGCGTGGGCTGGCTTTGTTCACTGTCATTGGATCAAAATGAGCCACAAAAAGCAGGTAGTTGTACACAAAGTAAACAGGAAACAAAAACAAAAACCCTTAATTAAAAAAAAAAAGAACAGAACTAAGAATATTTAAAAGTGGTTATAAAACAATATATTAAAATGGGTGGGAACAATATAGACCAGAGCTGTTAAGGTAAGGTTTGGTGTTGGCATTTTAATTCTTCAGGCTTCTGGTCATCGTTACCAGTTGTAGCATAAATTTGCTGGAGTAGTGGTGTGGGATTAAGACTCGGAATGGTCAAAATTCTTCAGGTTCACAAAGTTGAATGTTGTTTTAAAAATGACTTTCTAGAAGAGAAAAAAGAGACAAGTCTTAAAACATTCCATAAAGAAAGGCTTGAAAAAAATGTTACATAACATTCATCAAGTTTCCAATCAACTAATCAACAGTTACTACCCATCTAGCCCTATAGTAAATAATATGTTTACCAGATGACAAGCATGAGAGGCTATATTCCACCCTTGAGAGCCTTAAAATATCTGGAGAACTAACA